ACACTCTCTCTTATCTTTCCCTCTATGAGGACAATCTCATCTACCCTAGAAAGCTCTGTTTAAAATGGGTCAGATTTTGGAATAAGTAGGTTTGTTGGGTGACTAAGGCCAAACCTTAAATTGACCTGAACCGAAACCACCACTCTCAGAGCTGGGCAAGTTTGCCCAGGCACCACTAGGTGGCAGTAAAAGAGCAGCACATGAGTCAAAAGTCAAGGATGTGCACGTAAAACTTCAACGACTGCAAAAAGAATGGCAAGAGCGTTCCCATCTGAAAATTAAAATGAACTTTTAACCAAGCCATGTAGTTACAGTTGCGAGAATAATTAATGTCTGTTGGATCTGCACCACCCCTGCTGGAACCGTCGCTAGGGTGGGCGGAGCTTGGCGCAGGGAGCCCGGGGGTCTTACCTGACGTACTGGAAGGCCCTTGTCTGCGACCCAGATCCATACACCTAGGAGGAAACCAACAGTTAGGGCTCCTGAGAAAACCACACCGCAACCAGAGGGCAGCTTCCTTAAGTCTCCAGGGGCACAGACTGACCCCAAAACTGATGCTGCAGGGCCAGTGACACTCCAACTCACATTTCCTACTTCAAATTTAAGTCCTAACAGTGAGCAGGCAGCGGAAATACTTCATGTGTGCATGAGTACATGTGTAAAGTCTTTCCTCAAAAGACAGCAAAGGAAGGACTCAGCCTCCATTAGAGTCTTATGATGTGTCTGGCATTTCGTCAGGTTCTGGGGACAGAGATCTCTGAGTCCAGCACGGTGACAGACCCACACACAAATACCGGTCAGCACATCTACCCGGGGCCCTCCACCCTGGCTCCCCGTCAGAACAGCCGGGCGCTCCGCCAGGCCGGCCCACAGAACCTCTGGGAATGAGGCAGGCAGGCATCTCGGCATTCTTACAGCCAGTTTCCCGGGTGATTCTAGTGTGTGGCCAAGGTTGAGAAGCACCCAGGAGACTCTGGATAGGAGACACTGGTGGCGGGAGGGAGGGAAGGGCCTCAGCCTCCATTTGTGTCCACTATATGTTTCTGCATCTCCCCCTCTGCGCTGGCGTTCTCTTCTCCACCCGCTACACATCCTCTCGTCTGCTGTCTGCCTGGCAAAGCGCTACTCATCTCTCAGGGACCAGCTCAGATGCTGCCTCCCGGTGATGCCTCCTCTGGCTCATCCCAAGGACAGAATGGACTGCTCTGCCCTTTGTGCTCCGTGGTCCTTCCCTCACCTTTTAGACTCACTACTCCTGCCAGTTCCTCCCAGCTGATGGCTCCCTGGGACAGGAGTCATGTCTGACTCATCTTTGCCAATGCAGCCAGCACAACCCAAGTGCTCGATGCACATGTGCTCAACAATAAGCTGGTGAATTCTGCAGTTTATACCACTTAATTAGAACGAAGAGACTGAAACAGAAGGCTCCCTGAGAGACTCCCTGACCCTACAGTCAGAGAACGAAAGAGCCATGGTGTGTTTGCTTGCTGGCTTGCAGTGGAAAGAAGGCAGCTCGGAGGGGGGACTGCCTCCTGGAACAGCCGGATTTCCAAGCCCAATTATAACAACACCGGGGCCTCCTCCCGTCGGCCACCAGACAGCAAGGAAGAGCCAGGAGGCCAAGAACTCTGCAGACGCCAGCTCCACTGGCCTCACTTCCCAACCAGCTTCCCAGGGTTCAGCCCACCAGATCTGAGAGGGAAAAGGGAAGGAGGAGCAGGTATGGGAGAAGGCACACCTCACAGGTCCCCAGTGCCTTTTTCTGTCCTTATTAAGCAGGTTTAAATGGCAGGGTTTTTTTTTAGCGGTTAAGTGCACGCGCTCCGCTACTGGCGGCCCGGGTTCGGATCCCGGGCGCGCACCGACGCACCGCTTCTCCGGCCATGCTGAGGCCGTGTCCCACACACAGCAACTAGAAGGATGTGCAGCTATGACATACAACTATCTACTGGGGCTTTGGGGGCGAGGGGGAAAGAGGAGGATTGGCAATAGATGTTAGCTCAGAGCTGGCCTTCCCCAGCAAAAAGAGGAGGATTGGCATGGATGTCAGCCCATTAAATGGCAGTTTTTATCTCGATAAGCGTTTATATACGCCAGTGTTGTAGGTGCATCAGATCTATCTGTTTCGGTTATGTTCTCAGGTGGAAGGCCCCACATTAGAAAAGGCTAGGGGAGTACTGATTTTTGTAGATTTCTGTTTTATAGACATAACAGCAGCAGCACATCTCTGTAAAGGAAACTGAGGAGAGGCGGGGTGGGCCTCTGAAAAGCAGACTGGCCCTTCCTTGGCAGTTCTGTCTGACCCCAATTCTCTGGCCTCGCTAACCCACATGATACATTTGGCAGAATCAGAATGGAAACAACGGGCCTGATTAAGCAGGAGAGAGGCTCCACCCATTACTGCATCGCCAGTCCCTCATCTTGGAAATCCAGCCTCCACCCCAGTCCTGCAGGTGTTAACACTTATATGTATACATATTTTTTACAACTTTATTTTAAAGATGAGGTCACAGAAGCTCAGAGCGCTACAGTGACCTGCACCCAGTAGAGTAAAACCTATCCTGACTCCAAGTTCCAGATTCCTTTTCCTACCCCACTGCATCGACAATTTCAGATTTGCCGGCAGTTTCCGCCGTGTACTATGGCTGGAAAGCTGGCACTGGGGCATTCTCCAATCTCACTGTAATGTGAATATCAGATTTAGGCAAGACTTGTCAATCCGAGTTACAGTACCCCTTACTGGGTAGGTTTGTGGGTGTGCAGCTAGTCCTCTGTTCGTTTGCATCCACCTGCCGTTCTTGGGTTTGCCCGGTCAAAGCTGAGGGTACACAGACACACCTCTGCCTACTTTCTTTGCATTTCCCACCGCACTCGGTGAGGGTCACTGTTGCGTTCTGGCGCATTCCTGAAAAGCCCACTGCACGTGCAGAGCAGCAAGAAGCTGGATGAAGGCTTGGTCTTCAGTCTGATCACCCTTCCGAGCCGTGACGTACCACCCACGCACAGAGGAACACACAGAGGCAGCTTCCCGGCCCACCCAAATGTGCTGGAAGTTACCGTGATTGAGGGCACCATGTGCTGGCTGAGCCTGAGACGACGGGACAGGTTAAAAGGGGCCGCCAGGGTTAGGATTCTCAAGAATCACACCAAACACCTTCTCAACGAAAGGAAGAAGGGCACTGTGATGGAGACACTTAGTAGCTTGAATGTCACCTAATTCCAAAGGGAGTTTTAGAGCTACAGAGTGGCAAGGCCAAAAAAAGCTCCTGAAGGTTGAAAAAACCTGTGGCTGTTGTGTGTTTCCCCCAGCTGCCTCATTCGAAGCGCCCTCCTGGAGCGGGGGTCACGACCAGGAGGCCGGGCTGTCTGCAGGCACACCTCCCTCCCTGACTCCATCGCCACAAGGCTCGGGAGGCCTGGAGCTTGACTGCAGGCACCACAGTCATCAAGAGAGCTCAGCCCGCTCCCTCAAGGTCCAGTGACAAAAGCCCCTCAACAGCACCCCTCCCACTGAGGTCTCACTGGATATCCATGTGGCATCTGGGCCTCGGCAGCAAGTCCCCGTTACTGGAGGAGGCACTGCGCCTGGCTGCGGCAGGAATGCGTGGATCCTGGGGACCCCCAGGGTACAACTCTCCTGGTTCCTGCTGACGACGCAGCCTTGAAGATGTATGTGCTCCAGTGCCCGCCCTGAGATAAGATGCGATGTGAGCGGTGTCCCTGCACCCTCCCTCCAGCATCCTTCTCAAGTCCTGCTGAATATAAGTTTCTATAGTACATCATACTGTTCCATCTATATTTTGGTTTAAATCGGCCTCCCTATATCATCAACACAGTACTTTGCAATATGAGGACTTATAACTCGTGTGTAATTTTCACTCTGTGTGCTCAATGTGAAAAAGCAGAGTAAAAAAAGGGGTTGTGTGTGTGAGAAGACGCTATGCCCTGCTCCCAATACACTCTCCCTGACCTCCGGAATGCATGTGGAACCCCTGTGCACACCCCTCTCCCATGATACCTCGTCTACAGACCTGGCCCAAAGTAGGTGTGTTAACAAAAGCCAGAACATTCAAAACGCAGGGAGCACACTGACAGGGAGAGCTCTGCACAGCCCCCCGCTGCCTTGTTTCCCTCTAAGAGAAGCCAGGGGGACTTGCAGCAGGTTTGGCTTCATTTCACAGAATGGGCGAGACGCAAGGAGATCCGGGTCCCTACTCAGGTGTGGCTAACTGAGGGCTGTGTGCAGGTCAAAGCGGCGTGCATCTAGGAATTACCAAAAGGGAGAGGCAGGCTGGTGGGCGGACAGGCAGCTGGGGGCGTGGGGAGCACCGCAGGGAGGTACAAGCTGGGGGGAGCACCACACCACGCCCAGTGCTATGCCTCCCGGGTCCAGGATGCTGTTTGTCGCCCCAAGTCAGGAATCACTTAGGATACACATGTGGGTATGAAGGGTAAAGAAACGCCAACTTTGGACAGGTCTCAGAAGTATGATTTCTTCAAAATTTCGCTTTGGAAAAATAGCAAAGCTTTTAAAATGATACAGACCCAGATTCAAACCCCAGTCCTGCCACGTCTGGGCTGTCCTGGAAAAACTCATCTCAGTAAAGTTGAGATCGAGACAAACTGAGAGAAATCACAGTAAGGTGGCAAAAAAGGAGTTAACCCTACTGTGAACGTGTGTATGCACGCGTGTGTATGCACGCGTGTGCGTACACGTGTTGTGACTCAAGTGTGAACTCAAGTCTCTTCAAGATCAACTTAATACGCTAGCTCCACCTGAACCACACTCGTCTACCTTCTAAATCTTCTGAACTGGAACGCAATATTTTCTGAGCTTCTATGTGATTCAACTTAGAATAGAGCTTCTGTGCATGACTCACAGAACTTAGCTTATACTCCCCGAGCTATCCCAACAGGCATCCGATACGGCAGTGACTCAAGACGCTAGGACATGCCCGAAGAATGAACTGTGCCGACGGATAAGATAACAAAGGGCTTCAGAAAAGAGCAGCTGGAAGCCAAGTGATTTCATTCACCCAGCGTGGAAAAGGGAAGACAAGACACCGAGCTGTTCCCAACCACCACTGAAGACGTCTTCAGTCTCAGAAATGACTTGGAAATATAGCAGAAAGGGAACAAGATGGACACACCTCCTTATTCTCCTTCCTTAATAAACAGTGTTCCCAAAGGTTGGCTGGAGTGAGAGAATCATGATGTATGACCCCCTCCCAGGAATTCTCCAGAGAACCAAGCGACAAAAGCAAGAGATGCTATCTCAGTTGGACAGAAGAGGATGAAAAGTCAGCAACTTCATCAAACCACTGAAGGGAAACAGAATTCTGTGCAACGAGAGGAAGCAGATCCATTCTGAAAGGCGTCCCCAAGGACTCTGCCTCCTGCCACCAGAGGCGTCTACAGGAGACTAAGTGCCGAGGGTTTGGACCGACTGCAGTCCTGGACGGCACCAGCCCTCTTGCTCCCTCCGTCACTGGCACAGAAGCTTGTGGAGCACGCAGACAACACGAGTTATGACCATCTGTCCATAATGGGTGCATTCTTGAGGCAGGCCGGGGACTTGCTCTTGGGTTGGGACACTTGGGGCCTGGCTGCTGCCCAGGAGACAATAAATCAAGAAGCTGTTTCTCGGAAGGCTTTCAGCAGTTTACTCTGCACACAAAGCAGCTCTGATCTCATGGTGTGAGCAGAGTTACGGAGTGCGGCGGCTCAAAGGCTCCGGAGTGTCCCTGAAGTGAGGAGCTCTCAAGAGAGCAGCTGGACGAGGGTCCCAGGGCACGGGCACCTCAGAACCAAACAGCGGGCAGAGGGAACAGGGACGAAGAGTCAGCTTCACCTCGCAGCAACACCACAACTGCCAGCTTCCAGAACAAGTCACTGGGCCACTTGTGCTCATCACAGAGGAAAGCAGCCACCATAAACCCAATCGTTAATTCCACCAGCATTTAACACAAGCTGCCAGGAGCCAGGGACTCAGCTGATAAGCAAACCATCCTGCAGAATGTTCAGAATAACAGAACACTCATCTATTCTGGACACCCACCAAACACTGACTTTAAAGGAGCAGAGGCCACACAGTGGACAAATAGAGAGGCAGAGGCAGACAGGCGAGAAGAGGACTAGGAAAGGCAGAGGAGAGAAGCGGGAAGAGGAGAGCACTGGGGATTTGGCAGAACAGAAGAGAACCAACAAAACTTCATCAGCAACGCCCCCAGAGCCGGTGAGAGGGCGGTGGGGATGCGTGGAACAAGCAGCCCACCGTGACCCACACAGGGTGTGTGAGGGCACTGAGCGGCTAGGCCTCACCCTCACCACACGCTCGAACCACTGACCCTAGACCCCCGGAGGGCTCGGGGCTCCAGAAGCCTCCCCGGGGTGAGAGCAACTGGCAGAGGGAGTGCCTCTCAGCACTGCCGAGAAAACTGCCAAGACCCCACCAGACACAGCTCCATTTCTTGGCAACCCGAGGGGCACTGAGTACAGATACACGACTGGGCACAGCCAGTGGGCAAAGAAAACGTCCAGAAAGGTCTTTGCAGGCAGGCTGGGGCAGGCAGACAGACCCCGACGCCTGGGCAACGTGGACGAAGCCTGCCGCCCACGGCTCTAGGATGTTGTGGGCTCGGGGAGCAAGGTGCCCTGCACCCCACCACAGTCATTCCTCTTCTGGATTCACTCCCGGCACCCCCTCCCCTTCGCTAAGGGCAGCAGGACACACTTAACAGAAAGTGGCAACCTCGGGAATGCTACTCCCTGAATCACGACGCAGCCTCCTTCACCGCGTGCTGGCCGACTCCCGAGTCCTCTGCGCCTGCTGAGGCTGCACGTACCGTGAGCGGCTCCCCCTGCAGCGCCTGCAGGATGAAGTTGCTGACGACCCGCCCGTCGTTCATGTGCATGCGCGGCCCAAAGGTGTTGAAGATCCTCGCCACGCGCACCTCGACGCCTTCCTGGAACAGAGAGGAGGGAAGAAAGATGGGCTTCACCCTGCAGCCCGCATTTATGCTTTCCCATTTCTGGTCCCTGCACAGAAAGCAAGTCAGAAAACATTCTGCTTTTCATTCTAGGATGGACGTGGCTTTTCTGTTCTGATTATATAACATGTTCATTGTAAACCAATTTGGAGACTACAGAGAGTTATACCAAACTCAGATGTGTCCCAGATCTCACCACCACAAGGCCACCGGCATTAACATTCTGGTAGAAAACCTGCGAGACTGTTAAACAGTGCAAGAGGAAAAGATGCATTTATATAAATTTTTTTCCCAGTAAATAAATAGCTATTTTCCTAACTAGCACCATGCTATGCATACTCTTTTATAATTTTTTTCACATAATATTTGGGGCAAATTTATCACTCAAATTTGTCAATGAACATTTAATATCTGGTTTGAAGAAAAACAAGAGAGCACCTTACCTTGGGAAAGCAGGGACAGATAAGCATTCCTAAAGAGCAACATGGTACCTACACCCCCAATCTGCTCTAGTGAAAACTAAAGACAGTGCAGTATCCAAAACAGGCTATCAGCCAAACGGCCTGGAAGACGCATATGAACATCGTGTACAACAGCCATCTCTACACGGTGGGATTACAGACGTTCATTTTCTTCTGTGTATTTTTTCAATGTTTCTATTTTTATTACAATAAACATGTATTACTTTTATAATCAGAAAAAAGCATATTTTCAAATACATAATCAGGAAAATATATTTTTTAAACTCCAAAAGCACTCTCCAAACTATCTTATTTAATTATTAATTTCACAGACTGCTTTTCCGTGGATAAAAAAGTTAAATGTTTTTATCACACTCTGGATTAGTGGACTTGCACAGCATGTGTGTTTCTCATTTGTTTGATCCATTAAATCACAGACGTACATTTTCTGGGTGTCTGAGGGCAGGTAGGATGGTGGTGCGAAGACCTGGGGCTCATGTGCCCTCCAGCTCTACAGCCTACTAAACAGGCCTGCCACTGACCTCTCTCAGCCCCAGAACGACTGGGATTGGAACAGTGCCTCCCTTACGGGGCTTTTATACAAATTAAGCCAACCCCTGTGAAACCCTCAGCACAGGCCCAGCGGCCTTGAGCATTAAGCTGCTACTGCTGCCACTACCAGTCCAAACAGCTCTTTTCTAATTCTGCCATCTGAGATCTGGCACAGGCTAGGAATCTAATGGACCCTTAGCTAACGGGGCTTATTCAGCACAGAAATGTCCTCACCAGCACAGTGAGTAAAAGGCGCTGAGCTGCATGCCCCAGGCCCACGTCAGGCCTCCCAGGGGCTGGAGCCACCCCGCCGGCCCCCTCTGCCCCAGTGTGCCAGACAAGCAGGCACAGTTTCTACACACCCTGAGATAGGAAACGGCTGGGAAGCAGGGAACCAGCACACAGTTAACGTCTAGAAACCAGAGTGCTATACTTCTGCTAACTTTACATTACGATGCTTCCACATGAGCTCTTCAGAGTCTCAGGACTAACATATGAGCTATTACTCTAGGCCCAGGAATAAATCAACCCTTTTCTCTACTGAACTAACCAGAGAATATTTTTTTAAAAAGGTGAGGGGAACAGAGCCATTGATCCTAATGGAAAATAACTCAAAAGTATTCACTTGCATTTAATTGTTACGACAAGGAAACAATCAGAAGTGGATCAATATGGCTTTTTCTAGGAAGAGACTGGAAAAACCTCAGCAAATTTACAGTAGTCAAACCCATGTGCCTGGCAGAGGAAGCTCAGAGTGGGCTATGCAAAGGTTGCAATGAATCAAACACTGTTATCCTCCTGACCTTCCTTTTCTTCAGGAACAACGTTCCAGAACACGACCTCACTAAAAGCTGGCTTCTGCAAACATCCCCGGCCAGCACGTACACAGGCCTGCTTGTCTTGCTTTCCATTTGGATCGTAACCTCAGGCGACACAGGACGAGCCTCTGGACAGGTGCAGCCACCAATTTAGCCACGACACTTTTCCAAGAACTACAGCTCTCCAGCTGGTTTCACCCCAACAAGACCAGCTCCATGTTAAGCCTAAACTCCTCAAATGAAATAAACATAAACCCAAGACTCACTCAATGAAGACCTGCTCTCCTCTCGTGCGCTGGGTCTTCTGGAGCTTGTGTGTCGCTTCTCTCTTTCTAGGGTGTCAGGACACAGAGGCTCCCCCCATCCAGCAGGCACAGTCCGTCAGCACCTGACACTCATCCCCTGGGACCTGCGGGGGCCCTGGCGGGAGGGTGGACGGTCACCCACGTGCACACCTTGGAGGAAGGATACTTACTTCCCACCTCAGACCTGAGGAAAGGGCCAGGGTCTGCCCAAAGCCTGCTTCCCAGGATGAAAACCCAGGAGTCCCTCCAGGCCACACGTCTCTTTTAAGGGAGACCCTCCTCTGAAGGACTAACAAGCAAACACTCAAACTCCTGTCTCATTTTCAACGCTCCGTCTGCCAGTAACAGAGGCCCACCAACTACCACTCGGGTACCCCGAGCTTCACCACGGCGAGAGATACGGGGCCCAGACCCACGTGCGTGCACACACGTGGCAGTGATTCAAAAAAGGAACTGAGTAGCTCTTAAGCACGGCTGGGCTTCCCCTCGTGGCCGTGGTTTTGCCCAGTGTGGGGAACCATGACTCATTCACTTAGGACTCCAAGCATCCAAGAAGTTTCTATCAGGGATTAGGACAACTCCTGGAAGTTTACGTCACATCAGCATAAAATCAGTAGACACTTAAGAGAGGACAATGCTCGGGGCGCCACACGGGCGAGCGCACGTCAGCACAGGTGGGTGAGTGGCACGCAGACACTTTAATAACTGGGCTTTGGAAACAGTGACCAGGCTGCAATAACACATAACCCCAGCTGGGAAAGCTGCCATCGGAATGCCTCCCTCCTCCATTTCCAGTAGCCGAGAGGGCTGAGGGTCTGGGTAGACAGGCTTGGATGACTGGTGAGTGGTGATCCAGGCGGCACAACGAAGGGACAGGGATTCCCCTCCCCAAGGATCTCCAAGGACAGAAATGTTGCCAGCAGGAATAAATGGGCCCCCTCTAAAGCTCTCTTTTCAACTGCGATCCAAGCCACTGAACACACAGTATGATTACGATCACTGTCTTCACTGACGGAAGGTGCCGGGGGACGGAGCAGAGAAGCACTGCACAGGGAGTGGGGCGGACCCGGAGGCGATCGTCACCTCTCCACTGTGGAGAGCCTGTCCTGAAGGAGGCACCCAGGGCATATTCACCTGTAGGGGACAGGACAGAGAAATAACAGGAAGTGCTCCCAGGTACGGCAGCCCAATTCTGCGAGGCCTCCTTAGCCTTCCTCATGCCCCTGAGAGAAGTACACGCACACACAGCCCTAAAGCAACAGGGTCATGAGGCCCTGGAGGTGAACCACGTAGTTCCCCTGTGGCCTCTCATAAATGCACCTTGATGGGACCTGCTCCCTACCTGGGGATAAGACCATGGCCACTACAGAACGCAGAGCTCACCTGCTGAGCAAGATTCTCGAAGGAGCTGGACCGTTGCAGTTCTCACTCAGGGGTAGCAGAGGGACAAGGCCACGTAAGGTCAGGGGATAGTGGGTACACGTCTGCCTGCAATCTCTCAACAGCCCTGCTCCAGTCTTAACGATCGGTCCTGAGCTCGCTATGCAGCAGGCTATGCCAACGCTCACCGCCCAGGCCAGAAGGAACAAGTGTCACTGCTAATTTCCAGGTGGGGCAAGTGGGGCATGGAGAGCTGGCACCAGCGAGCAGGCGGCAGAGCCAGGAAACAAAGCCCACTGGGCGGGGCCCGGCCATGGGGGTCTTGACCCCTAGGGTGTGAATCCTACCTGTCGAACATCTGACTTCTTCTAGCTGCTTGCTGAATGCTTTTTTGTGAACTGAAGTATCATGTACAAACAAACAATTTAATTTTTTAAAAATATTGTGATGTCAGAAAATAAAATAAAACCATACCCTCGAGGCCACTGCACTAGATGAGCTTTCTTTCTGTTTGCCAGTCTACGGTTTCAGGACTTGTGGTCTCTTTTGGGGACCCAGCCCAGTGCGGGGGCACAGACCCTGGAGAGTCTGCCTCACAAGGGGCCATGAGCTCAAACGCACACCAAGCACTGACCACAGTGCACCAGACAAGTCCCCACTCTGATAAATCCACCACCTCCAAGTGCACGTGGAAAGTGCAATGGAATTCCTCTCTGACAAGTTCCAAGTATTCATGTAAGATGCACTGCCCTTTGATCCCAACTTCCATCTCCTTCCATCCCCTGGAAGAAACCTCAAGGGAGCTTCTCTTTATGTAAGGGTGTGTTCTGACATGTGCCTGTGCAGTAGATTTTCATGGCAAATCAAATTCTACTTTGAGTACATTAAGATATTTCATTCAGTAAAATAAAGAAACTCAGAAAAGAATCCTTTGGAAAAGGGAAACTCTTCTGTAAAGAGATTATTCCAACCTCTATTTATCTTGTTTATATTCTCAGTCCTTATGTATTAGGATTATTCAGAATAAGCCACATCTACCTACCATATGGGGTCTTGACAAAAACATAACGATTTATACTTAAGAGTGTCATTACGTACAAAAAATAAGAATTTAAGTTATAAAAATAATTAATTAGGGGCTGGCCCGGTGGTGCAAGCGGTTGGGTGCGCGTGCTCCACTGCGGCGGCCCGGGGTTCGCTGGTTTGGATCCCGGGCGCGCACTGACGCACTGCTTTGGCGAGCCATGCTGTGGCGGCGACCCATATAAAGTGGAGGAGGATGGGCACAGATGTTAGCCCAGGGCCAGTCTTCCTCGGCAAAAAAAGAGGAGGATTGGCGGATGTTAGCACAGGGCTGATCTCCTCACAAAAAAAAAAAAAAAAAAAAATTAATTAAAAATATACTAGAGGCGCACTATTCCACCTGGTTTATCCTTCTTTCTGGTCATTTTCTTTTCATTTGTCTCCACGCAGCATAAATCATTAACACCTCAAGTTTTGAATTTTCTCCTAAAAGTCGCTATCTTGAAAGGCTGACGACGTCACACTGCAGCTCCTTGCTGATGAACCTCATTGCTCTGAGGAACAGCTGGTAACTCTGGAGCACTGCCGCGTGAGCTGCTTGTCCTGGGCATTGTCACCTGACTGCACACGATGTCCTTGGACTGGGAGCTGCAGCTTCTCTCCCTCAGCCAAGCTTTCTCAGCAGCAATGGCCCACGAGGACGGCAGGGAGGGGGGAAGGAGCACGGCCTGCGGGCAGCCAGCTGTGGGTTCAAGCTCCACTTCCAGGTCTGGGTGCTGGAAGCAAGTTTTGGAGTGCACTCTCCCATCTGTACAATGGGCTACCCAGCCCCACCTCAACAGGGCGGCAGGAATGAGGGGAGACTGAACAGACCGAGCCCCAACACAGGCTGAGCCCTAACAGAGGCCAGCCCACTGCAGCCCGCAGCCCTCAGCTCCTGTTCCCTGCAACACCCACTGCAGGAGACAGCGGCACATCTGGGCGGCACATCCACGGGCGCCCGCAGAGCTGTGCTGAGCACTCGGGGTCTGGGAGGGCCCCTCCACGGATGGACGAGGAACGAGAAGCAGCAGAGCTGGAGTCCTGAAAATCTGTCATGCTGGAGTCTCAGCCCCAAAGAGGTTCTGACTTGTCCCAGACCAGGCCACACCTCGAGGGACCACCCCTGAGCCCCCCAGACCAGGCCATGCCCAGAGGCCAACCCAAGGAGGACAGGAGGTGCTGACCCGCCCTTGCTGGCAGCTAATATAAAATCCTGAGTAAAAGAATCGTGCTAATGTCTTAAATGTTCACACCCTTCACAATCTGCACACAGTGGTTTTCACTTTGTTCTCCCCTATGTTTATCTCTGGATGGGCCTGGGGTAACAATCTGTCTTCCTTTTTGCTCTTCTGTGTTTTCTTACTGTCTGTTCCTGGCCAAGCATCCTGCCATAGCAGGAGCACCAACATCTCCCAGCTGCTCCTGTGGGCAGAGGCAGGGCGGCCCCATCTCCTCCTCCTCAGCACTGATCCAGACACACGAGGGAGAGCGAGCTCGAGGACGAGTTTTAGAGCCCAGCAGGGCCACAGTCTTGGACCCCTGCTGTGGGCTCTCCCCACAAGGGAGCACAGCACTTACAACAGGAATAACAGGGGACGAGGTGGGAAGCCCACGCGTGCCTTCCTCACAGGCCTCTCAGAGCTCAGGCGTGGCCACGGGAACTCCCACTCAGCACTCTTGGCCATGGTGTCCCTGCATCGGGAGGCCACAACTCCCACAGCGGCAGAGCCACCAGAACCAGACAGGACGCTGCCACCTGTAAGGCCAGAGGCACGCCACTCCCGACCTAAGGGCCACCCAGTAGGAGCGGGCGGGGGGTATGGGGAAAGGCAGCTATGTCATACCTGCTCAGGAGTCCCGACATGCGGTCAGGGGCAGGCCCTCCTCAGTGCTATTTGCAGACGACACACAACGGCAACACTCCCCTGGGCAGACGCGAGTCCTTGGGCAGGGGTGCTAAACCATGCGGCACGCCTGGACGAATCTACAGATTACTCAGCGCTATGGGTCGGCCTAGACCCCAAGCTTCACAAAAAGCGCCTGAGCCTACCTTCCACAGGGCAATTCTGAAACCCGGTCTCATGACGGAGAGTAACCCATGCACTGCTCCTGCAGCAGAACCCATGGTGCCCCAGTGAGAATCACGCTGTCAACTTGACCACAGACGTGACTTCTCCGTCCACACAACACTCGTCGGTGGGGGCCTCCCAGGTGTGAAGCACACGCCAGACGTTCCACAGTGGAGGTATCATTCAGGTGAGCGACAGTCCTTCACAAGGACGGATCTGCTGCGCAGGAACACAGCCTAACAGGGCTCTTGTCAGGACACCTAGGGACAGACCAGCTGTACACACAAGAGGGGCTTCTAACGGGTACATTACGGTTTTCGGGGCAATATCACCTATGCCGTTCAATTCCCAAGACGTCTGTGAGCAGAAATATCAATACTGACACTTCCAGAGTTATCCAGGCACTGCATTCCTAAGCTCAGAGCCGGACGACATGTATGCGTCCACAGTTAGTGTGTGTGTGATGAGCACCCTGGCTAGCATCCAGGTGCAGACTACAGTTCCTGGCACACAGTCAGTGCTCAATCAATGCCAGTTACATTATTACTAAATACTATAATTATCATGAACCCATACCTTAAAGTAATATGTATACTTATGCTCATTTAATAAAAACTAAAAGTTCAATAGAAATGTCCTATTTGCCCACCAGCTTTCCCTACATAAAAATTCACTAGGAAATTCTACCACACCCTGAAAGGAAAACAAACAGCTGAGACTCACCGTACTCTTCCAACCTACTAAGAACAAAACGCACTTACACACCCCTCATGCACTCAAGTTAGTTTCCTTAAGTACCAACATACACACAGGTGGCTCTATGTATCTGGGACCATCTTAAATTTGGAGGTCAAGATATTCTGGGCTCAAAAATGATAAAAGTATGTTGTTTCTAAAACTGTTCAATGTTTCATAAAATAAATGGATAACATGAGCCAACTGCCCAAAGTAGCTTAGAAAGCAATTAGTTCTGCTTCTGGTCAAGAAATAAGGCAGAAAGGCCTAAATCCTATATCAGCACAAGGTTATTTTGTTGGTCTTTAACGCTGGTATTTCATTAAAAATATAGTGAGAAAAAAGCCCGACAACTCTTCTCCAAAAAAAGGGGGGGAGGGGGCGCACCCAGACAGGCCTCTGCCCTCGAACAAAGCTGCTGCCGCCTGAGCTCCCAGCACACCTACAGGCTGACCCCCCGCCTGAGAATGCTGCCCCCAGGGAGAGACGTCCACGTCTCTAAGTCCTAAGAGCACGGCCACCCACACCTGTCCACAGCCTGTCCTGCAACAACACTCCTCTCCACGCTGGTTTACCTGCATGTCTCCCCCCAACAGAGGCATGTCCATGAGGATCTCCAAGAGCTGGGCCAGCCACAACAGGACAGTCACTGAGAAACGGAAGGACCAGCTGGGCCCTGGCCTGGCCCCTCGGGGTCCCTGTCTGGACATCTCATTGGCTCCTGCACAGCCTTCAGGAGGGCAGGACAGTGCTGTGACCAATGGTCACGTCGCCAAGGCACATGGGGGTAGAGCCACTAGGGGAACCTAGACCCTCCGCCTCTCGGTCCGTGGGCTCCTGCTACAGTGTGTGGGGAGCAGCCCTGTAACATGAAACGTGTACTGTGGGAAAAGCCCTCAGCACTGCAACGAATAATTAAGACAGCAGGTAACAATAGTAATGAATATACATAACAGTTCCTAAAGGGGTTCAAATTAAAGCAATAAGGAATTCATCTTTATTATGCCTATTAGATCACTGAAAAGTAGAAAAAATAAATAAAAGTCCACTGATTTGGAGGCTTCAGGAAATCCGAGGCACTTATAAAATAACTGCTGGTGGGCAACAAGGCAATAAGAAGCTTCTGTTCACAGCCACACAATAGTATTCCAACCTAGGAATTTATCCCCCAGAAACCACTTTTTAAAAAGGAGAAACATGGGAAAAGCTGTTGATAGTACCACCCATTTACAGCAGTGTGCACCCGGGCTTCCCTGACACACACCCCCAAGCATAGTTATTCAGGGCATTTCATTCTTCACAGTTGAGGGAACAGACGCTCTGTGCGTCTACACGGCAAGCCCAGAGCTTGGGTCAGTACCTGCTTCATGTAGGCATAGCACATGGTCTCTGCAACACGCTTGCCTTCGTCGTAGCAGGCTCGGGGTCCCACTGGATTCACATGGCCCCAGTAGCCCTCACTCTGAGGGTGGACTTCAGGATCTACGGGGGAAATGAGACTGTGTTTTCATCCTTCCTTTTCTCAAGTTCCTGTGCCTTACGGACGACGAATACTTATGATGCAAAGGGAGCTTTGGCAAGACCAAGGCAGACATTTACAAACGGAGATATCTGTATCAGAGGGAACTTCAGGCTCCACAGTCCCTTCTCTAGGTTCCAGTGAGACGTAGTGTTCTCAGCTCCCACATTAAGTAATGAGAGTACTTTACAGGAAAAATAAATACATTAGAAGATCAAACTCTCTCAACGGTAAGTCTCCCCTCTTTCCTATAAAGTGTTCTCAACTTTTAGATTATTATACAAACTGTAATTAAATATAATCTATGTGAAGAGATATACATTTTTTTATATTTATAAAACACATAATTATAGTAAAGCCGGTATTTATTGAAAACATTTTAAGAGCATCTCTGTGGAACATGATGACTTTCACACGTGCTGCCCCAGAACAAACCTGAGAACCTCGAGGACACAGGCCGGAGGCCTGTCTGGCGGAGGCGGAGGGACGGATGTGCAACGCAAATGGCCACCTGTGCCGTCAGCACGCATTTCTATTTCCCGCTTCCCGTGTTGCCGTGTGTCAGTCAGTCACACTTTAAGATGTACCAGGGGAACAGACTATTTAAAGAAACCTAATAACAAATTCTTTTTTAACACAAGCATATTTTTGGAATGTGAAGTAATACCTAACTTATCTGGTATACCAGGAATTTTATACAACCATGGTATAAAATGTATAAATCTTTGCAAGAAATCGAGGCGAGGCGCAGGAACTCTACGTTACAAATTCATTTCTTGCTTATTTTGTAGCCGAAGTCTGACTTCAGCTCAGGGGTACAACGGGACCTGTGTAGGGACAGGGACACGAACACACACAGGCCTAAGCCTGCCGTCCCCCTTCAGGAGGCTGGCGCCCCCCAGGGCGTGGCAGGGGCACGGTGCAGGTTCAGACCTCTCTGTCTGCCGCTGTGGTTCAAAATTCCTGCATGAAGGGCACATTTTTACTGAATGATGAGAAAAAAGGTCTCAGGCAAATACTCACTGAGAGAAGAAAACCAATGACCTAAATTCACTGATGGGACAGACGACTGACAGCAGGCCTTCCTGGGGATCTCTGACGAGGGCTGGGCAAGCTGGACGAGACAGAGAAGGGTGGGCACACCCACCGCCCCTCAAATGGCACCGTCTTGGCTGAGATGCCCAGGATGCCCACGGGTCATGACACAGCTTTCAACAGTCCCCTCACAAAATCACTTTGAAAAAATAAGTGAGGGGCCTGCCCAGTGGCGCAAGCGGTTAAGTGTGCGGGCTCCACTGCGGCGGCCCGCGGTTCACCAGTTTGGATCCCAGGCGCGCACCGACGCACTGCTTGTCGAGCCATGCTGTGGTGGCGTCCCACATAAAGTGGAGGAAGATGGGCACAGATATTAGCTCAGGGCAAGTCTTCCTCAGAAAAAAAGAGGAGGATTGGCATCAGATGTTAGCTTAGGGCTGATCTTCCTCACAAAAAAAAAAAAAAGAAGAAGAAGAAAAAATAAGTGAAAAAAAAAAATCACTTTGTTAGGACAAAAGTAAAAGTCTAGAGTGAAAACTGATTTCAAATTCGTCTCCCCTCTTCAGCATTTTTTGAGGCTAATAGACCAAGCATGCACTCCACAAACCGTCCCCAGATGTCAGAGCAGATCAACTGGTGAATTCTGTGAGTTACACCCTAACGTTGTTTAAGAACCCTGAAGAACACAACACACTGTGAAATATGCAGATACCAAAGGAGGGGGAGGAGGAAGAAGGGTGCTTGTGGAAAAGGAGCGCTGTGCCCTTTTGGACAGATAACACGAACACCTTTTCACTGGAGACACATTTGAAGGATTCAGCCCGTTGGACTATATCAACACCATTCCTTCCACATTACATGAGGCCCGTCGAGGAAGCAAAGGGAATCCGCCAGCGTCGGAGAGAGGAGAACTTGCTGACCCTTTGTAGAATCTTTACGTGGAAGGACAGGGAGGGGGAAGGCAGGAGTCTGCTCAAGGGCCTGTTCCACAGCAACGGGGCGAACGGGTGGGAGGTGGACACTTCTGCCCTCTGAACTACCTAGGATTTCAAAGAAGTGGATGCTGCTCCACCTTTCCAGAGGGATTACAAATTTACAAAATTTTTTTGTAATTTTTTGTAATTCTTTTCTGCATTTAGGAGAATTTCTGTTTCTGTGATTTTTTTCATTTGGTTGCCTTACTTTAAAAAGAAAACATTTCTTAACATTTTGCCCTCTCACTTCCTCATTTCTCCCGTCCACAACAATAACGTGAATGAAGCAGAAAACTACAACATGTCAGAGCCTGGCTTCTGCTGCATCAAGCAGGCAGTTCTCAACAGCCCTGCACCTAGCTGGTTTGGGGCCGAATGGAAATCCACGTGAACTGAAAATCAAGCCCTCATCCCACACCTGTCGTTCCCTCCCTAACGGGCCCGGGGAGGGATGCGAAGCACTGCAGGTTGCAAAACAGGCTCACAAGTTTTCTGGCACTGCCTACTTAAGATTTTTCCAGAAATCATTACACGGCAGGTGAGGCAATCAGCGCGAGTCTCTGCACTAAGCAACCACCGAGTTCTTGGTGGGTCAGGCAGGCGGCACGCATTGCTCACGCTGAAGAATAACACACGCCAGCTAAACTGGCAAAAAAATCCCTAATGAGTGATTTCTGGGGTACTTTCAGAACAGAATGGCCAAAACACTTCTGTGGATTGTAAATGGTGGGACCTTACTGGGAAGGTGAAATGATAACAGTCTCTGGGAGTGTGCTCCAGCAGGAGCCAAAGGAGTTCGTCCCACCCAGGGGAGGGAGCCTGGAGACCACCCACGGCTGAGACGGGCAGCCTCTTCACTGTCACGCCCTGGGATAGGAAGAGCAGGCTGGGCCTTAGAAATGGAATCCAGGACTCATTTCTTATTTCTTCTTCACCTAAGACAGGATACAAACAGTCCCGTGGGGCCGGAGCATGCGTCCCCAGTGGAAGCCCCCCACTCACCTCCATACACCTCTGAGGTGGAGGCCAGCAGCAGACGGGCACCGACTCGTTTTGCCAGCCCTAAGAAAGCAAAGGTAGGATAAGAGAAACTGTCAACTTCAGGCAAACAAGGAAAACACAGACGCACATGCACATTTTTGTGTCAATGTAAGGAATTTTTGTATTAATGATATCTGATCATCCATGCATCTTCAATTATCCACTCTTATTGCAACTACCTTGGAACAAAATAAAAACAAAAACAGTAAGAAAAACATAAATGAACCCTCAGAAGCACAGTATTTAGTTGGATACTTATAAGTGTAAGCAGGGCCAATGCAGAGTCTGTTGGTTTGAGAAGGTGTGATTTGAGGAGTTTCATAAAGACTCCTCTGCCTCAGCACATCACCCAGTGTATATTGGGTGGCTTCACCCTGGGAGGCAGAAGGCAAGGCCCTTCACACCTGAACTGCCACTATTCCCCGCAAGCAGTCCCCCTGCCACTTCCTCAGTGTGCGCCCTGCCATCTTCCAACTGTGCCTGAGCCAGACTCCCTGGCTGGGCACCTCTGCCTCCTCCTCCTGCCTCCTTCAAGCTGCAGCTTCAACAGCACCTTCTCCAAAGCAGCTTGCCACATTCCTCCGTCCTGCTCTGAACCCTCTCCTGCATTTACCCTCGCGTGTGGAAATGGACTAGAACATCATTATCCACGGTGGTCACATAAGTATGGAAAATCCTCCAAACACTCTTCGCAGAGTCCCAAGGTACAGAGGTCATCAGAGGCTCTGAGACGCCCAGCACAAAAGAAATCAATTGCCCTTTACTTAACCCAGTGCTTCCTTCCCAAACAACTCCACCACGGAGGCTTTGTGCACAGACACCATCAGGGGAGGGGCCAGCTGTGCCGCACACCCCTCAGTGCCCAGCACTGCACATGGGGCAGAGGTCCAATGCGGTGCCCGTGAAGTGCTGCGAGGAGGGAGAGGTGAGGTGGGCACACACAACCTGCGGGCACTGCTGGGGGAGGCTGGCGAGACAGAAGTGGGTATGAGTGTGTAGGAGCATCTGGGGGAGGCAAGAAGACGCATGTCAAGAACAAGAGCCGGGGGTTGCTAAAAGGTAATGATGTGGAGATAACCTGTGCAAGCGCCACCATGTGCTTGAGGAAGAAAATGCTAAAAGGGGTGTAGTATGATATGGAATTTACAGGCTGCCAACATCACGGGCCCATCACAGGCACTCCAATTTCACCCCGCAGAAGTCTGCAAGATGGAGCAGCATACCACACTATTGCCCAGCGACAACGGTAGTAATGAAGAATTCCGAAGTCTTTTTTAAAATTAAACTTGTAATTTGAGACAATTGTAGACTCAAATGCAGTTGTAAGAAGTCATACAGAGAGATCCCATGAACGCTTTACCCAATTTCTCCCAACAGTAAAAACTTGCAAAACTACAGTACAACATCACAACCAGGATCGTGACAACAGATACCGTCAAGACACAGAACATCCCATCGCTGCAAGGATCCCTCCTGGGTGAAGCCAGGGGAGCTCACCCACACTGCCCTAGCGCCCGGGGGTTTATGCTGAGACTGGACAAAGAAGCTGCATCACGAAGAAGTCAAGCACAGGACCGGGGAGGTGGGGAGCCACAGAGAGGGCAGGGCCCACCAGGAAGGAGCCAGGCAAAGTTCAGTGCATCTTGTCTCAAGAGCAAAATGACTAATGACGGCTCCTTTCAGTTCGGAACACAAAGCCCCTCTGGGTCTCTTTCTGGCCTACCAATTGCCTCCCATCTCCCCCTAGCTTTTGTCCATGTCATTCCCGGAAGACCCTTACCATTCCTTCAGGACCCCCAGGTCCAATCTCACTCGTGGTTCAGGCCCAGCTCAGGATCACTGAACTCTAACAGTACGTCACTGGCACCTCTCTTCTGGAAACTTTCCTCTCCTACTCAGTATCGCTGATGCCTGTGCCCATATTTCGCCTCCCCTAAGAGACACTAAGTTCCCTGGCAGAAAAGCCTGATTACAACCCTTATCTGAATTCCCTCCACAGCGGACAGGACAGTGCCTAGGGCTCAGTGGCTGCATTGCCTAAACAGGTGGAATGAATGACATCTCTTTAAACATCATGTGCTTGGTGGCTTTCCCTCTATGGAATCTAGTTCTGGTATGAAGGAGGGGGCTAGGGAGGCAGAGCGAGAGTAGGGAGGGACAGGAGCCTGCGGTGTCAAGAATGGGGAACAGCTTCTACCACACCACACCTCTAAGCAGAAGTGGGGGACTCTGTTCTGTCCAGCGACCAGGGCAGGGGTCGGGACAAAGAGGAGGACAAATGCCCTTGCAGATTACAATGGAAGTAACTTCACGCAGAGCTTGATCCGCCAACATGTTTAGTTTCAGAGACCTGAAAACCCATCTCTGCTGCCCTTTCCGTCCTGTCTCTGTGCTTCACTCAAATTAAAATTTAGCACTTTACTTCCGAAATCCATTTATAGAACCTGTTTTAAATGTTCCTATAATTAAATTCACTTTTTACTTGACATTTTAAAAAGTGGTTCCCTTCCTCCACTTTGCAATTAATCAAATCCCCCAGTTTTTTAAGCCTGTGCCAAACTTAAGCGTGCCTCTAATTTCAAGCATTAATATGTGCTTATCATCCACAGCTATAAATCTAAGGCCTGCTGTTTGTGAAGACACAAGTGTGGCCACCTTTACCGGGGCTCACTCTTGCATCCTTCATCTTTCACTTCTAAGGTGAATTCTGAGGTTCAGTTCAGAGCCAGGTACTCAGTCCCGACAACCATAAGGACCGCTCTCCACCCACTCCTTCCAAGAGTGCTACTGAAATCCCGTGTGTGTGCGCGTGTGTGTGTGCATGCATGTGCAGTCCACTCCAACCCAATCTCAGATGAGTCGCCAGTGCCTCCTTCCAGCCCAGAGCCACATGCGCCACGTGCCAGAGGGGAAAGTGGAGGAAGGCTGGGCGGTCACTTGAAAGCACAGGTGGTCACTCCCAGGGGATTCAACTGAGGCAATGCAGGCTGGTTACTACAATGACTGTCTCCTCTAGACAAATTCAAGTCAAGCCACATTGAAATAGCACGGGCAGGGGGTGAGGGAGGGTGTGAAGACCAAGATCAAACTCTAAGAGAACAGTCAACTACCTACGCCAGAGTCGTCTGAATATGCCCAACAACAGCCTCGAAAGCAGGAAGGGCAGCGCTTACCCAGCATGTTTAGCGTCCCGATCGTGTTGGTCTTCAGCGTCTTGATGGGGTTGTACATGTAGTTTGGAGGGGAGGCCGGAGAGGCCAGATGGTATATCTGGTCAACTAAAGGAGACAAAACGGAAATATGTTATTTCCAAGAAAAACTCTAGAATTATTCTGAACTCCCAAGAAGCAGACTGTATAATAAAGGTGTTCATGTATCTTTCACTGAAATTCTAGTTGTTGCATTATTCTTCATAGAAACTAATTTACATTTGCAATTAGAAGACTTTAAACAAAAATAGCAAGTCTAATTATCTGGAACATAAACAAAAATAGCAAGTCTAATTATCTGGAACAAAGACATGTGCTGGGCCAGTTATGTGGGCCTGTTCTCCTCTAATTAGAGTCAATCTGATTACTGAGTTGATTGTTTTCTGAGAAGATCTGTCCCAGATAAAGCATCCAAATCAGAAGGAAGACTGGTTTTTCAGACATAGAATTAGACATGAATATCTAAATTAAACAAGGTTTTTAATTTGTAAAACAAATCTGACAACATAAACGCACAAATGTATGGGAGAAAATAAAATAGCCTTTTGCTTCATTTTGTCTGCATTCTGTAGACACAAAACCAGAGCCCGAGAAGACGGTCAGGCCGGGTGGTTTTCAAAGCCATGGACGGCTAAACAATTTACCCTCCACACACCTCCCCTGGTGCACAGGCCTTCACTTGAACATCACCAACCACAGCGCTCACTCTCAGGTCTGGTAAGACCCGCCACACAGCAGAGGCCCTTTGGGAACCAACGTCTCCCTGTGAAACAGCCGTGACGGATAAGCACGTGTGAGGAAGGCCATCCCCGCAGACGATGTCTGTGCCATGCCGTCCCAAGACAGGCGAAAGAAAACATGACCACCACGGCAGAGGCGAGGATGCTACCCCAACGAATGCTCCTTGCACAGGGTGTTGGCCCCCATGCGAGAGCACCCGCAGGGACCCCTCTGCTCCCCACCCCACCCGGCTCCCCCGGCCTCCCACCCTCTTCCCAACCAGGGACCACTGCTCTCCTCTGAGGTAACGGCACATCAGGGGCAAGGTTTCAGAGAGGACGGGCAAAACAGGCACTTGAAACAACAGTCCTCATAACCTTCTCAGAAAACACCCCCACCAACAAGTGCCTGACCTCCTCACCCACTCCACACCTGTCACCCCCCAGGAGTGTGGGAATCACTGCAGTGCCTTCTGGGATCAGGGCTGTTGCCTGACTCTCCTACCCAGGGTTGAGGCTGGATGACAGTTCATCATCTTCAGACAAGGCAGAAGTGGCGGCTGCACAGGAGAGCACTGTATTCTAGGCCGTGAGCTTGGACTCCACTTAATTCACCCTAACGACCACAGTGCTTTCAGGCTCAAAGGCATCTGGGAGACTGGGGGCACGTGAGCCATCAAGACCAGGAAAAGGGGAAGCTAGATGGTTCTAAGGAGACTGAATCTTTGGGAAGGGTGCTAGGTATCGCACAGGCTCATGGAATAACCTGGTGACTATATTTTTTCCTAGATCAGGACCACACGTCAAGAGAGGTAAGAACAACACGTGAAAGGCTGTGGGTCCCATCTTTGGGATATTTATTTGTAAGGCCTCTTTGCCAAGACTATTCCAGCAAACTCCTGATGTAATAAAAAAAAAAAGTCTTCCTGTTTTATGCAATGCAATCCCTGTTTTTTGCAGAAATAGAAAAAATTCATTCTAAAATCTCAAGGGACCCTGAATAGCCAAAACAATTTCTAAAAAGAGGAACAAAGAAAACTCACACATCCTGATTTCAAGACACATTACAAAGCTACAATAATCAAAACAGTGTGGTACTGGCATAAAGACTGACACAAAGATCAACAGAATAGAACAGAATGCCCAGAAATAAAGCCTCACATGTATACGGTCAAATGATCTTCAACAAGGGTGCCAAACCACTCAATGGAGAGAGAAGAGTCTCTTTAACAAACGGTGCTGGGAAAACTGGATGTCCACATGCAAAAAAGAATGAAGTTGGACCCTTATCTCACACCGTACACAAAAATTAACTCAAAATGGATTAAAGACCTAAATGTAAGACCCAAAACTACAAAACTCCTAGAAGAAAACATAGGGGAAAAGCTACATGACATTGGATTTGGCAAAGATTTCTTGGACATAACACCAAAAACACAGGCAACAAAGGCAAAAATAGACAAATGGGACTACACTGAATTTTAAAACTTTTGTGCTAACCTCAAAGGACACAATCAATAGAGTAAAAAGGCAACATATGAAATAAGAGAAAACATTTGCAAATCATATGTGTAATAAGGGGTTAATATCCATAATACATAAAGAACTCCTACACATCAACCACAAAAAATCAAATAACCCAATTAAAAATGGCAAAGCACTTAAACAGACATTTCTCCAAAGACAATATATAAATGGTCAACAAGCATATGAAAAGATACTCAACATCACTAATCATCAGAGAAATGCAAACAAAACCACAATGAAATCACCTCATACATATCAGGATGGCTACTACTAAAAAAAAAAATTAAAAATAAACAATAAAATAACAAGTGTTGGGGAGGATATGGAGAAACTGGAACCCTTGTGCACAGTTGGTGGGAATGTAAAATGGTGCAGCCACTACGGAAAACAATAAGACAGTACCTCAAAATATTAAAAATAGAATTACCATATGGTCCACAAATTCCACTTCCGGGTATATACCCAAAAGAATTGACAACAGGGTCTTGATGAGATATTTGCACGCCCATGTCCACAGCAGCACTATACACAATAGCCAAAAGGTGGAAACAACCCAAGGGTCCATCAACAGATGAAAAGACAAACAAAATATGGTATACACATTCAGTGGAATATTATTCAGCCTTAAAAAGGAGGAAAATCCTGTCACATGCTACAACATGGATGAACTTTGAGGACATTATTCTAAGTAAAATAAGTCAGTCACAAAAAGATAAATACTGAATAGTCAAATTCATAGAGACAGAAAGTAGAATGATGGGTGCCAGGGGCTAGCGGGGGAAGGAATGGGAGTTAGTGTTCAATGAGTACAGAGTTTCAGTTTTGCAAGATGCAAAAGTTCTGGAGATCTGTTTTACAACAATGTGAATATACTTAACACTACTGAACTATACCACTTAAAAATGGTTGTTGGTAAAAAAAAAAAAAAACAAAAGAAAGGTGCTTATGAGAGGGAAAAGCAGAGGAAAAAAGTATTCGTGAAAAGCAATCAAACTCTCTATCAAAGCTGAAGTCAGAATGAACGGTGTTGGTTCACGTATTTGTTCTCCTTTTGTCAACCCTGGGAATATAAAGGCTAAAACTCAGGCTCCTGAGCCACTGCAGACCATTCGAGGTTCTCCATCAATCCTCCTCTGCATCAGTTACCCAGTGAATCTTTTGAAGGACAGACGCCTGGGCCCCTGGCACCCCACACAGACCCTCCAGGTGGGGAGCCACTCTGGACCTTTACACATACGTTTTTAAAAGCCTCCTTTGAAAACTATTGGGTCAATTAAAAATAGAACCTAAGCTATTGAAAGAATAATCTTTCTTCAAGAAAACATAAAACCTTGTTAAGCTGTTCATAGTCCGTCAATGTGCCAATTCATGGAAGGCATCTACCTAAACAAGAGGAAGATCCCGTGACTGCTTTCGAACAACCACACGTCTGTCTGAGTTGATAAACAGCTAAAAATACACAGCAAAGAAAAATCCTATTGTGCTAACTGCAAGTTAATAAGACGGTTCTCACAAAATCCCATCATTCTTAGGCTGCTTCACCTTTTCCAGCTTACAGATGTGACCAGGAAGAGCACAGGTCATTCCCGCACACCTGCTTAAAAGTACGCAGGTGTAGGCAGCAGCCCTTCGACTCCACACGGGGTACCGAATGTCCTCACACGCCTGCTGCCGCTCTCGTAAGCACGGTGCCAGATCAGATCCGAAGCCTGGACAGCGCTGCGGAGCTGAGCGCCGGAGAGCACGCTCCTCCCGCCTCGCTGGCTCTCTGCTCACAGACGGGGCACCACACGCGCTGAAGACAGCGTCAACCACAGCGTACGGGCTGTGATCTCAGAACAAATCATTCAGCCCTACGTTTACTCCTGAGGTGACAACATGTGCAGGGGAAGGAGGAGAAACTTCGTTCAAGATGAAGGCAGGCAGAGCGTGTTGCGAGTGTGGAGCCCTGCCGCCCCGGGTCAGCAGCACACACTCACCCCGCTGCCTGCACGGCGCGTGACAGCCACTGCCACCCCTCGGCCAGCCTCCAGATCCGCGTCCTCACTCAGGATCAGCTCACCGAGCACAGGAAGGAAGCCTTTTCCTTCCTTCTGATCTCCACACAGCTCTGCCCTCTGCAGGCAGGGCAGCCCCTGACACCCAACCAAGTGGGCTCGCCTCCCTGGGGAGTTAAACAAGACTCTACACCAGTGGAAGTTGTCTCACAAAGTAAAGTGTATTTGCGGCAAACAGGAGGCCATGAGGAATCATCTCCAAAGTCACAGGGCCCCAAACAAAGGAAAGCAGGAACTTTTATTTGGTTGGGGAATGAATATTCAAAAGGGAGAGGCGAGTATTCGCTTGCACAGGCTCAGCTGGAGGACATGCTTCCACATAATGAGGCCTAAGCTCCTCCTGGAAAGGTCTTTGTATTAAAAATAAGGCAAAGGTCATGGGCATAGCTCTTGTGAGGCTTGGTCAATTTCAGGATGGCTGGTGGTTACATCTCCCTTGAGTGCCTTCCTTGGTCAGTTTCGGGATGGCTGGTGGTTACACCTCCTTAACACACAAAAGGACAAGAAACAACTTGGAAAAACAGTTAATTGCTTCCAAACCCACCTTTGAGTTTCTTGAGGCACCTAGTCAGTGACACCCCCAGTCACCATGGGCACCCACACACGCCGGGTCCCGCCCAGGCTGGCTAGGCAGGCCTGAAACCCAAGACTGAAACAAACACCCCCACACGGGGCTACGGCCTGCCGCAATGGGAAGGGTGCTCAACAAGTCAGCTGAGTGAAGAGAGGAGCCACACCTGGCACTTTCTCATCCAAAGGCTATTGC